TCGTGACATTTTCAATTTTCCTGGAGTAAAGAATTTTATTGGCGAGTGACCGTAGCATTTGTGTACGCTAAATTATACGCAGGTCTCATTATGTGATGTCTGGCCGACTCGGTTTCCCCGAACCTCTCGTAGTTTATTAATAGAAGTATCGCTTCCACGCTTAAAACGCAATCTGAGATAATAAATTAAATCTGACGGTTGATTATAAGCTATTATATGGGCGGTGCTTTCCCAATTACTTGGACTGCCGCATCGGAAGACCAATTCTTCAATAGTCTGTCATTTTAAGCTCAAATTCATCACTAATCAGAAGTATGAGTAGTCATCATAATCGCCTGATGGCATCGTTTATATATTCAAACCGCCCCAACGCAAAGCGCCTCTGATCATTATATGGTTATTCAATGCGGGGATTTACCGGTCCCCTAATGTCTACTGTGGCCTTGGATAGGCGCATCCTGATTTTGGCGCCGAATGAGCTTCAGGCCAATGCTTCTTGAGTCTGTGTTTCCGAGAGCTTCCGGTCTCAGGACAGAATGCTGACTTGCCTTTTGCTCGCGACACCAATTCGTTTGAGCATAGGCACGCCTTTCCATTTATCCATTCGACTATGTCCTGCCGGCCTGGATACAGCTGTTATGTTATTCCACTGCATCTACGCCATTAAAGACTATAAAGTTCGATTCGGGTGTGATATCAAGTCTGTTCTAGCAGCCAACCCTTCTCTTTTAGATCAGCCTATCTGCTGGTGGAAATTAAGAGATCTGTTTTTCAGCAAAGCGTACTTCCTATATTTGACTCATTCCGATAGGCTCAGTGTTGTCCTGATTAGGGGGGTTCGTATGCCACGGCTCTTCTGGCTGATCACGGCGTCACACGAAATATGTCTTCGCTGTCCTACTAGTACATGTATATATCTAAGCCTTCATGCTTTCGGCTAAGGTAACGTGAATATCGATGCATATTTGAGGGCACAGAGAGGGAGAGAGAGAAGCTTAGGAGACCACGGGAAGAATCAGCAGTCCGCTCTAAAGAAGTTACAAAATAGCGAACAAGTCCGGTATCCGGTTAGAGAGCCGGTGTTTGCAGATCCGGTCGCGCCAGGTTGTCGCGCGAGATCCGCCTTTGATCCTGCGCCCTCCGCTATTCGATGGAGCAACCGGGCAGCGAGACACCCGCAACACAAAATGGACCTGGTACTTTGTCCGTGGCCCTGATTTCCTGCTGTAGCTGCCATGTAGAATCACCGATGAAGAAGGCCTAACTATGGGCTATTGGGCTATGTGGTACACTGTGCAGTGTACAGTCTGTAATAGGGCTAGCTTTTTATGCAGCGCTCCGAGCACAACAGAGCAGGATGGATTCGGGGGAGGGGGGGGGATTCGAAGACTACTGCATTGGTGCACTATGCAGATATATCCGGTACGGTCGTGAAGCTTCCGGAGCGTCGTGTGCGGATCTTCCATTGACCCACTGTTGGAAACAGTAGTTTAGACGAGCCCAGCATGGTGTCGATGACCAGAAATAAGTAAGTGGGTTAACTTGAGGAGCAGATCCGATATCTGGTACCGCCACTCGGTGCTACATTAATCCAATGTAGAAATCCAGTAACATGCCGAAGCGCCGTGGGTAATTTTTGGAAATCTAAAAATATATCGTAATAAAATGAATAAAGTTAACATGTTTAGGCTAAACCATTGTAGCGTTTTATTATACTGAAATAAATGACGATAGTACACATGCATTTTGGGTAGATGTATGTGGATGCTACGAGTACTTTTTGTGTGTCTGTATCCAAGAAAGCTTATACAAAATAATCATAACTCATAAGATGAATAATCGCTACCGTTCTGGTGATGTGACAGATGTATTACTAATGGAGGGTGGAGCATTGATGAGTAAATTGGTATAAAAATCGAAGTACCACGAAGCGCAGGGCTGGCCGAAACCCAAAACACCTACAGCCTTCTCAATCTTGCAGTCTGAAACGATGTTTAACCAAGGCAGGACCTTACAAAAAAGTCCGAGTAGTTTAAATAAGATGCTGCCAGCTTAATTCTTAGTTTTCTGGGCAAATAGGAGATCGAATATGTCAGGTGTTACGTCCGCTGCTTGAACCGTTAACATTGCTTAAGATGTCTGGCTCGTCTTTGCACGGAACTGTCCGTGTCTGTTTTGATTCGAAGCTAGACTACCTTATTTGTTCCGCAGTCAAACATGATACCGCTGCGTTATTATGGGGACGTTCAATTAAGAGATTGGCGTGCGTCAACGGCTACGGTTGACGGTACTTTAAAAAACATTCAGTCATAGGCAATTTATTACACAAATCGGAGAACTAGTTTTTATCTGCTTCGAACGATACCATCCCGGAGTATTTACTTGCAAACACCTCCTTCGTTTGCGGAACTCGTCAGAAAACCTAGAGAGTACGGGACGGTTGCCACGTCCGGCATGACTATAACCGCACCGTTTAAGTTATAACTACTTTAATTCATGTAAACTAGAACTTTTTATTGGTCGAAACTCTATGCCATGCGGTTTTTGAAAGAGAAAAAAAACAAAGTTCAGAATAGAGGAAACGAAAATTGACATTACCCAAGCTATATTCATAGTATTCCCGATATTGTACACATTCACGATAAAATGTCTAAACACCTTTCATTACTATACCAAGCAGAAGCTATTTTTCCTATTAGTAATAAGCTTGCTCACTGCTATTTATTGGGCTGCATTCATTTGTTACTGCATCTTGCGTTTCGTAGCAAATGAACCCTGCTGATCACAATTTACCGAGATGAGCGGACGGTTTTACGAACTGCGGGTTCGATCCGTTCCCGCATCGGAGGCGTGTTTCCTAGCCGTCGTCGTTATTCTCACAAAAGCTTCACTGCAAATCAAGTAAACAGCGTCTAACCACATGTAGATTAGCCTGTGCTCCGCTTAATCAGTTGGATTCACACGTTGTCGCTACTGAAATCGCCCCCAGAGCAGGCTGCCTTCGAGAGTCGGGGGTCCGCCCCACCAAAAAGCATCATCATCATCGTTCTGTCTGGGTTGTTTTTTATCCATTCGGTATATACCTGCATCTGCACCATTGCCTTTGATATCGATGCATATGCGTAAAAGACTCATTCCCAGTGAATGAATGCTTTACGCGTTCGTTTTGCAACGTTTACGATCCACAAGACCAAACCATTTCGCGATACTGCTCGTTGCCCGGCGGCAGCTTTCGCTTTCTCTAGAACAAGCCTCCCCCTACAAGTTCCAGTAGCATATCAGCATAAGATGACCAGTGCGCGATCTAGCTCATGTTCACTGTCGCTTGACTTGGGTCGTTGCTGCTCTCAACGGAGCGCAATGGAGCTCAGGCCGTCCATTTGTTCTCGTAGCGAAATACGAAGAAGAAGTAGACGAAAGGGTCGAAGAACTCTAATATCCCGTTCATTCAGCTTTTGCCACTTACGGACCAGACTGTCCCAGTTAAGCGGGTGTCTCGGTTCTTCTCGCACTACTTTTTCTCGTGATGCTGCTGGTGTCTTCCTACAGCGGCAGCAACGGCTGCAGGACGTGTAGAACCCTTTTCTTACTTTTCGTCTTAACGAACCGACCGCTCCCGCTGCATCTGGACTTATGTGTGTATGAGCTTGTATATAAGTGAATAAACGGGTCTGTACGACCCAGTCAGCTGTATGCGTATAGTGAATCTGGTCCGATTCGGGCGAAGGACAAGCAATAGTAAAGTTACTGGCAGTAAGGCAGCGTTGTACATCTCGAGAATCTCGAGGGCCTCACGGTGCTTTCCTTGGTCGCCACTGCCAGAGAGAAGAGCCATAGCTGGCACGAGACACTCGGAAAGAACCCGTTATGGCCTGGCTACTGGTCGCGCGCTCGACCTCCTACCCTACCGTACTCTAACCTACATTGATTCAATCCTACATTAGAACAACGTACCCCTTCCAAACAGCTAGGGCGCTTACTCGATCCTCCAGCAGGACGCGCTCTGACTCGTTGGCTAGTTCGAATCGAGACGTTGAACCGAGACTTGGACCCCGAACGGCCAATGACCATGATTTACACGACTGAAATACATATATAGTCTACAATATATGTATATATGTGTCTAAAATGATGACGACGAAGACAACGCCACTGGACGATGTTGTATAAGTCCGTCTGTTGTCTCCAGATGTCCACCTTCGCCGCCATCCTTGACGCGGCCACCGATCCGACATCACTTTCAGCCAGCGGGGTATCTTCGCTGCATTCTCGGCTCACTCACTCACCGACGCTATGTAGACAGTAACACTAGTAGAAGCAGTAGGACGATCAACAGCAGCAGCAAAAACAGATCTGTAGCTGCTCGGGAGTGATGCTTCAAAGAGCTGACGGAGCCCCGGAGCATTGCGACGCTCGCTTCGGAGCAAGGCGCTAGTTAGGTCGTCCAGATTTGGATCGTAGCCATTGAATCTGTTTCGTTCTTTCTGTCTCCACCGATATCGTCCTACCCTTACAGTATCAACCATGGCTCCTGGCCGTGATAGTCACATTTACTTAGTGCTGTTTAAATTCTCTTCTCTCTTCCTGCGGACTGACCAGAAGATCTCTTCTCGCTGTGTTGCAATACCGTGTCTCGAACGTGTTAAGTTCTTCGCGATGCTCTGAATAAACGTCAAACGAATCCTCTTGTCGATTCTCCCGACACTCTATGACTCCCTTTTGAGGAAGGAGTGTACCGCATTGGACAACCGGTCACCGAAAGACTACGTAATAAGCATCAAAGGTAACTGGTCCCGCAACGGGGGTATGAGCCGATGCGAGCGGGGGGGGGGGGGGTCTGCTGTTATTGGTTCGTTAGACTGTTATTACTGTTATTATCAGTGCTAGCAGATCATGTTGAATGGGACTAGCTGCCTTCAGCCCGACAACACCGCATCGTCACATGAAACACAAATGAACTCTCCAGAAACCTTACGGTAATCTCCCAGTACTATCCAACGATGGTGTTCATACGGGAACAGCTGCAGTGGGTTGCCAGTGCTCCATTCACTCCGCCGGCAAGTGAATTCCGCCAGCCCTCGACGCGCAGGTAACGTCGTAGGCTGCGTACGATTTTAGAAACGAAATAACTTGTTGAGAAGACAATGCGTTAGTTTGTGGTTGCGGTCACAACCATCGTTGAATGCAATACTAGAGCCCATAGAAGTACCAGTATTAACTCCTGGTTTGGTTGCGATACAAGCAAAAAGGTGAGAAGATGTTAGGGGCGCAGTGATCCCCCGGCTTCCTAAAAAAGACAGTATTAGAAAGAGGCCTTCGACCCCCACTGGTCGCGTGGATTCTCTGGATTGAATCATCCTATTCAGAGAGCCGCCCGCGACTCTCGCTATGGGAGGGAAGCTATTCTACGATTCATTGGATGACAACGAAAACCGCCGTCGCCGTCTCCCACGATGTGTGGATGAGCTGCCCGCTAGCGTAAAAACACATAGATACAGTAAGCAGATCGACGGAAGGATGCCCAGATACAAACACACACATACACAGACATAATTCGACATGCAACGAACCTTCTGCTCTACCCGTTTACTTTTTGGTCAATGGAAGAGTAGTTAGGGCTGCGGTGGTGGAAGGTCGTCGGTGTCGGGCGCTTTTACTGGGTAGCCCAGACTCAAGCAGAATCGACTACTCGAAAGGATAACAACGGTAGGAAGGGAGTGCGAGCACTAATCGAAAACGTATGGAAGAAATATGAGTGAAAAAGGGCTAGAAGCTAAAAATCTCTGTTTCGCAGTACGTATTTTCTTGGGCAATGACACACGCTCGACTACATCGACTCATCAGTCTGAGTACAGAAACGGCTGTTTAGCGCGTCGGAGGTTCAGTGGGGCCGGTCTGTGCGGACGCCGTTAGACGCGGCGCGCTCCACTAACTCTCTGTGACACGCCGACCACGGTGACGAGTCAAATGCGATTGGTTGAGACTAGGCGTTACCGTATCGTTGTATTAAGTGTGGCTTGAAAGTACATTCATGCGTGTGGTCTGAAAAATTGAGAGGTGAAGCCAGAAATCGCGGCGGTTTCGATATCGTAAGACACGTTATAGTCTACTAGCAATAAAATTATAGTCTTTTTATCATTATTATCATGGTAAAATAAATGTCTCGAGTTTTACATCTGCACTTAAGCCGTTAGGCAGCGTCATGCTTATTAACGTGATGGCTTAACTGGGCATAAACGTAGCGCATGGGTACCCGTTTTGTTACCTCAACCTTTAAATGTGTACTTCAATTTCATTTTTGGTAAAAATAGTTTTAAAAATACTGTGCAGAAGCTGAACAGTTTGAAGAGACTATGAGAGAAAAAGAAAGAAATCTGCACAGATTTTGTTTGAAGAAGCTGTTAGAAGTCAACATGTATAGTAAGGTTCGATCCGTTAAATGTCAAAATCTATATGTTAGTAAAGGATACGATCACTGATATCCGATAGCCCTAAGAACTCAGTGCATTTATGAAAGTTTTTTATAACCAGGCATCTAACGTGTATGAAAGCTCAACAATTGCTTGTATAGAGATGTGTTCCTCCAGGACTACGCTATCAATGTCGTAACTTTTCATACAGAACAGATCATAACGAGAATAGGCTATGCCATAAAAACTCAAATATTCGACGTGTTTATGTACTACTTCTGACTCAGGGAGAGTGTTTATTTGAAGTGTTTCAACAATTTAGCAACATAAATACAGAAATAACTGTTTCGGCCTGGTATACGAGTCAGCGAAGGTCAAACTAGGACGAAAAATGTTCAAATAGAGATGAAATACGAACGTGATTGCCTAGACGTTGTATTTAGCCTCTCGGCGTAATTTGGACATCATCATGCCGTGATGTATAATAGCGTCCCTTACTGCGGAGCTGGTTTTTCTCAGTGTGTAGAAAGCAAACCCATAGAATGTTAGCACCGATACTATACAAAAGATGTTCAACCAAATGTGTCTTAATTTGAGGAAACACAAGCAAGATTTGTTCACGGCATATGTTTTTGACGAACTAAGCTTTGTTTTAATTGTACTTCGAAGCCGAAACTCGAAGATCGTCTCTTGGGTGTTTGAGGCCCAAACAATCTGGCGAGCTTCCGTCAGGCCAATTCAAATGATATGATGGTTTTCCAGTGAAGTGCTATCACCACTGCTACATGCTAAAATAATGTTAGTACCACGTCATACTGATAGTTAGTAACATCCCATCTTTACAGAGCGGTTTAATGTTTTCTAAGTAATTCTGTCCACGACGAAGTTTATTCAATCAACACCTCTGAAAAACCTATTGTAGATATTTCTCGCATGTTTTCGACTTGCCTAACGTTTAAATGTTCCATAACGTAACTTTTATATTATTGCCTTTGTGTAAGGCATAGGCGTCTGAAATAAAAACAAAAAAATAATTAGAACGTATTGATAATTTGCGATGGGATTTTACGCATACACTGGAAACTTCCTAAGTTGCTGATGGTCATTTCCGGTATTGCATCAATGATCAGAGCAATTCTGACACCGCTATTCTGCAATGCGATTATTTTAAAGTGTCTTATTTGCATAGTCCTTTCCATGGGAATATTTCGAAAATAGTTTCAAGAACATTTTCACTTTTTCCACAAAGTTCGAATAGAACTTCTACGTACGGGCGCCCCCAGGGCAAAACTTATGTGGGTCGAGTATGGGATCAGTCTAGACTGACTTGTTTCCGCCGGAACACCACCAAACACTTATTTTCAACCCCCCTCTAAGGTTCCATTCTCCGCCAGCGAATCTTCATTTGAGAGCACTACGGGCTTGTATTTTTGGTCGAGAGCGTCTGGAATCTGTCTAGAGATAGCTTATAGAAAGGCTTTTAATATATTTGGGAATATTTTTTAATATTAATAGGGGCAGTTTCGCGAATACATTTATGTGTGCCATACGCTTATGAACTAATATTTATTGATCAATAATGCATTTTTTATCTAATAAGTAAATTATATTTTTCATGTGAAATCCTATTCCGAGAAAATTCTATTTACAAAGACGAAATCGGCCTGCGAACTCATGTGAGTGTGCAGAGATTTGTGACTAGTATGCCAGGCCTCGTCGTCATCACAGAGCAACCTTCAAGCAGTGCGCTTCGGCAGAGAACCGCCGGAATCGTTCAATTTGTTTAATAATACATCTCCAATCTATTCTTAGTCAACCGAATTAGTTGATTAGAGTTTTATTGATTGATCTGTATTGCGTTCGAACCCCACACTGACCAATTCAACAGTACGAGTCGGTCTTCGGAACTTCAAAATCTGACTATTTTCATAACCAATTTCTGTGTATATTTCACGGCATGATTAGGTAGCGTCGTTTAAAATGCTACATTTGTCTTTAGCGTGTTTATGCTAATTAATCATTTTTCATAAGGATCCGATGAATATTGGTCGGTGCCTTACGTTCGTTAAGCAGAGCTTGCTATTATAGTTATCTAATGTACGCTCAATGGAACGACTAGCTTCTAGTGACAACGTTTTTTTAACTCGTCAAACGTTGCCTTTGTGTGCTGCTCCTCGAACGAAGAGTCCCGCCTACCCATCTTACTCCTTTCGAAAAAGCTACGAGGCGTATGGTCATCGACGCCAGTGTCCCAGCATTACTTTCCCCGGTGGCGACCTCGGAGACGGGGTGGTTACGGGGTGATGCCGAGTGGCGGTTGCGGCGGATCCGCCAGGCGGCCGGTCGGGGGTCTCTCAACCCTTGTCTTGTCCTCGAGTAACCCTCTCTCAACCGAGCGAAACTCGCAATTGCTTCTCTTCGTACTCGCCTCTTCGGGTTCAACTCGATCGTCACTGACATCGGACGAACTGACCGATGACCGTTCAGTTAGACATCTGTAGTAAAAGCAGCAGGACAGATCAGAACGAAGCGCCATGGAAACCGCTCACTCCGCTCAGCTCAGTCCTGTTCCAGAATTGACCGCTCGGAGTACCCAGTTTTGCCACTCCTGTCTTGGACAGTGACTGCTGACTGACCTGTGGGTAAATGAGTGGCGGTAGAGTAAAACTTGAAAACTCCTAGAGGCGGACACGGGGGCTAACGGTTTAAGTCACAGGGAACTTTATCTAGAGTAGTACTAGTACAAAGCAAGTGTTTAATGATATGTTTTTGTATATTGGTGTTTCTTTGGCCTTTTGTGGTGACCTTATAGTAGGGAAACAGACTTGTTTATTTGTCCTAGTGAGCGCGTCCGAATCTACGTTCTACCGTGTTTCTTAGCCGCTTAAAGCCCACGAAACTTGTGAAAATACCTTCATCATTCACTGTGCTAGTACAGGCTCATCGACGGATGCTACTATATGTATTGAGTGATACTCTGTTCGATAAGGTGTTCGGGAAAACGAATTGACACTATGTCTTCGTGTGAAAAAAAGTGGATGCTTCTGTGACTTAATCCTGTGAGGTGGCAACCCTTCTTCCGATAAAATTTTCGTAAGGACTACTCTCGACCGTCCACGAATTCACACCTTCATCTAATGCTGCCAAGGCCTTTATGCTTTCACGGATCGTGCGGAAGTGTGCTCCTACACTTCAAGCGACAGTCTCTTGAGGACCTAGGTTCTTGCACATTAACCATCCAGGAGCTCTTCAGGAGTATCGGGAGCGAACGCTGGTGTTGACAGCCTCTTGTCTGTGTTGCGATTCATCAGTATGTTGGGGTACGCGAACAATCTAAATATGACACGTTGATCAAGATTGATGAATGATTAAGATGAATACAGCAGAGCAAAAATAGCTGGACTGGATATGCATGTATGTGATGATAGAATGATTTGATTCGTATAGCCCTGGCCTGGAACCTCCACTTTCTCTCTCTAGTAGCCATTTCCCGTTTGTCCTATTGTAAGCACCACAACTGCTAATGGTAGAATATTGTAACAAGAGAAAAAGCCGAACGCCGGTTTTGCAGCGACTCGTCTACGCTTCGTCACACTGGCCAATGTCCTCTTTGCATGGGCACCAGTAATCGTTGTTTGCGCGTGTTAATAACGCTCGTTGTTAATGTTAGTTTTTATGTTTACTCCCTGCTAGGCGCGCGCCCTAATTGACTCGAGGAACAAGTGCGAAAGCGGAAATGACACCAACATGTTGAGCATTCGTAAATTAATAGAGACCTTTTAGCAACTATTGATGTATAGATTTAGGCATATGGATGCTCTTCCTCCGTTGAGCTATTGCGCTCCCCACTAGATGAGGTTGACTATAAAGTTGTCAGCGTAAAATACTATCAGAAGTTGCTTTGAAATATGATCAGAGATCAGCCATAGATTAACTCAGAGCTGAAATATTTAGAGAAATAGATGGTAATTTTTCAAGGCCATCTTTTTTTTTAAATAACAACAATGCGGCGATAATCTACTTAACGCTAAATTAGTATGTAATTATCTATATATAGATAAGCTAGCACAAAGCGCTCAGCATTGTTTATATGTCCGAGATGGAGCGGCATAAATTTAATTCGAATTCACAAGTTCCCAGACGATTTAGGGCGGTGCGTTTCGCTTTCGCGCAACGATTGATAGTGATTCTGTGGCAAACATTAGTACCGTACAACATTAGAAGCCAAATAAACGTTAACCATCTAAAAACATATGATCAATCATTGCTGAATTTATGATGGCTCCGCGAATCCATTGTCCTCCAGTTCATGGAATGCCTTGATGAAGAACCCATGCTCGAACAAAAACAGCATTAATCACGCGGAATCTTCATAACGAAGAAAACCGTTGGCGAGGCAAAGCAGTACAGATATCGTATATTCACGTAACTGTACAAGTCAAATTTCACATACATATTTCTCGCTATAGCAATTCTTTACTGAAGTTACTCTTCGATTCAATTACTACATCCTTAAACTTAGAACTGGGCAGATTATGTTGCGTTAACTCTACTAATCTACCAATTAAGTATTAGAACTTATAGGAATTTTATTTATTCAACAGTCGGTGACTAATAATGTTGATCCTAATAAATGAGGTACCTACTTGTAGGAGACCTCTTCTGGAGAAGAGTCTGAGTAGCAAGTTCGTTTCTATCTTGATCAGTAGCCTCGTATTTTGTTGCAAGGACCGAATCTGCTTTACGTTCCATAATTTCGTCCATTCTTCAAGCCCATCATGCCCCTGCACTCTGCTTCGCAGTGCGGGCAAATGATAGTCAGTTGAAATTCGGCAATTCCCTGCGGTCGTTTAAATGATGATGGATAAAGTGTGGCATCTAATCACCGCGACAGTTAATCATATCCGACTGAAAATTATTTTTACCAACAATAGTGCCGGCAGCAACAACAGAGGTATTGACCGGTTTGGTGGTGTTTGCCCGTTAAACATAAAAACATGTGAGCTGAAAGTTCGAAGCGCATACACACTTCGTTTCAGGCCGAAAACCGGTTAATTGAATATAGAAGCAATAATTAACTTAAAACATAACGTTTTAAGTTGACTCATTTATTTCGTTGTTTTTTTTATGCATTTATTTAACAACCGCAACATTAGCAAGCACAAGCACAAAAGCAAGGCACTGGTGAACTTCACAACGATCTTGTCCTAAAAAAGGAAATCTTCACTATGATGATTCGATAACGTCAACATGTCTACCTGCGAATTTTAGGGACACACGTAAGACTTGTACAAGTTAGATATCTGCAACAGACACGGTATTTGTCGTCCTAATCAGTGCTCAGGGGCGGCTCCGGGAACAATAACTTTCACTCAATGAAGCATGCCTTTTAACAGCGGTCGAAGTATTGTTACCTATAAAACACACTGCTAACATTTCTCACTACAGCAGTTAGAAACGAGATTAATTTTGTGATAACTGAGAGGAACGTCACTCCAAAAAGTATGGGGCAAATTAGCCCTGGTATCCAGCGAATTCTAGTATCAAAAAACTACACGTTTTTTGATACTAGAATTCGCTGGTTCGTTTCAGTATAATTATGATCTTGTTAAAAATCTAGAAGATGTTTCTCATTGATATTGATTTTGAATAGGATATTTTTTTCCATTATTGCCAAGATTGAGCATACACTGAAACAGTCGAAAGAAGTCTGTAATAAAATCACTTTAATCGGATGCATAAGCTTTCGCGTCGAATTCGAGTCCGTAGGTTTCTGCCTTATTTTCTACTATTTTTTTATACTTCCTGGTAAGCTTTTTGTTTCTCGTTTTATTCTAATCCTTTGAATAATTCCGTAATCCGCTCCATTGTATCTAGTATAAGAACACATAAGCGAAATCATCAACACTAAGCTTTACCCAAGAGTTTGGGAACGTGTAATACGGGAGCGTCATTTTTTAGTTCCGGATCTCAAACTTGACTACATTATTTTTGCATAGCTACAATAAGACCAGGTGATTATGAAAACGAGCTTTAAGTTTAGGAACTGTAATATAAATAAATAGATAGTTTACTACAAAAAATATCATAAACACAGTACTAACCATTCGATTTGCTCGATTTGTTTCGCGTTACAGGGTTCAGAAATCGTCGGACGGCGTCATGCTGAGCGACGCTCTATCACGGAGCTTATTCCCGTTTTTACCTCAACTGTCGGGTCTTCATAACCTATCCGCCATTCAGGCGCTGAATTCCGGAGCTACGCTAACTAGTCCGCCGCCATCTAATCAGGCGAACGGTGCCCCTAAATATCGGTGTCACCTCTGCGGGGAAGAGTATGACAATGCAACTGAATTCGACCAGCACGGGAAGTCCCACTTCGAGCATCGCTGTTCCTACTGTGACTATACGTCGAAGACAGAAGGCCGATTGAAGCGGCACGTCAAGGATTTCCACGAGACCCCTCCATCTTCGGAGGCCACACCGACGAGTTCGTTCCCTTCCTCAATGGGGCCTGGGAGCCAGCATTCGGAAAGCGATGATAGCTCATCACAGCAGAACGCATCATCGACCGGAGGTGGAGGTCAAGGCGGAGCCTGCGGTGGGGCCAATCCAGGCCAGCAAAAGCCACGCATCTCGAAATGTAAAGCGTGCGGCTTTGTCGCCGAAACGAAGACTGAATTCTGGGAGCACTCGAAGATGCATATCAAGCACGGCAAGATGCTTGAGTGTCCTCAGTGCCCCTTCGTGACCGAGTACAAACACCATCTCGAATATCACCTCCGTAATCACTACGGCTCGAAGCCGTTCAAATGTGCCAAATGCAATTACAGCTGCGTGAACAAGTCGATGCTGAACTCGCATATGAAGTCACACTCGAACGTCTACCAGTACCGTTGTGAGGACTGTAATTACGCAACAAAGTATTGCCATAGTCTGAAGTTGCACCTCCGTAAGTACGGCCACAAACCGTCCGTGGTGCTCAATCCAGATGGAACGCCTAACCCGTACCCGATCATTGATGTCTACGGCACGAGGAGAGGGCCACGGCCCAAGAAAAATGCTCCAGGTGGCAGTCCTAGTCACGGCAACATGTCTTCGAACAGTGCCCTCCCGGACGCTATAGCGGGCCAACCTTTCCCGCTCCTGCAGACACCACTGACCGATGTGGCGAGTCTCTTACGCACCAGTAACGACTGGATACACTTTCCATTTGCATGGACTCCAACTGCTCTTGACGGCGTCGATCGAACGACCTTGACAAACGGCATACTACCTGACCTCGGTCTACTCACGACGCAAATTCCCGGCCAGACTCTACTCTCCGCTGAAAGTGATGCCGACCCAGAGAACAATTCGGCTCAGATTCAAGCTGAAAATCTCGAGTCAAATATCGAACTTTCAGACATCGCTTGTTCCATGACAGAACTCTCTACTGAAGATAAGCCTGCCACCGAACGCAGTTCAGCCATTTCCACGGAATCCATGGACTTACAGATGAGTCCCGCGCCCCCAGCTGCCGCCATGCCAACTCCTGAACAGTCGGAGAACGACATTGAGCACATTGAGCACCATGGTCGTTCGGTCAAATCAGAACCTCTCGACTGGAACTTAGAGGAAACGCCCCTCGATCTCAGTCGAAGTGCTCCGCATTCCCCAGTCCTTATGCCATCGTTAAACATTTCAACGTCGATTTCCGATCATATCCCGCAGAGTCCCCCTTCCGGAGATGCTCAGTCACCTATGCCAGACCACGCGCCTCCGTCGCTACCTTCCATAGAAACCGTCAGTTTGCTTCCATTATCCAACAGCTGCATACAGGATAATCCGCTACAAAGTCCACCGAGTTCACTACCAACCCCGATCGTCCCCCCTGTGACAAACCCCAGGCCGTCGCTGCAGTCATCGTCCTCGAGGCGTAAGGGCCGAGCCTGCAAACTTGATACGTTCCAATGCGACTTCTGCGACATGCTGTTTAAAGACTCGGATATGTTCACCATTCATATGAAGTATCATGAGTTTGAGAACCCCTTCAAATGCAAAGAGTGTGGTCTGCAGACTACTAACCGACTAGATTTTTTCGTTCACCTTGCTCGAATTCCGCACAAATGAACGAAACCGAATGCTTTTTCATGCTTAGCCATGTGTCCTTCAGGGACATAAGGGATGTCCGTAGACAGGACGAGATACGATAGCTGGCATAGTGTGGCGATCAGTTTAACGAGGTTGTTGAACCTGTACTAGTCATTGATAAAACTAGCTGTGTGTATAGAAGTATTAGTAGTAACTAATAGAAAAATGGTGATATCCCGTAATTTCAAGTAGAAACACTGACGGTTCTAACAATGGCTACTCAGCAGTATATTGCAGCTAAGGGTAGTTTGGGTATCGCCGTAGAGAGAGAGAGAGAGAGAGAGAGAGAGAGAGAGAGAGAGAGAGAGGTATATTATATTGGAATGGCACACAAAGGTAGCTAATGATGATATATAAATCTCTAACAACTACGAAATCAAACAGTTGATCTCAATGTTATTGTCAGACCTATTTAATATTAACAAGATATATATATATATATATATATATATATACACAATGTAAGTAAATTATTGTACTATTATGATGATGATGATGATGATGATTATTATTATATATATATATATATAAGTACCAAGCGCGTACCATGTTGACGATCGAATTACGTTCAGAAAAAGGAAAAGTATCAAAAGTGTGCCAAATAACTTGACATACAGCGAAATGAAGACTAAAAAGCAGAATGACAGCTATTAATGAAGCTTATCAGAAGATCAAAATATTGCATCCGTTTCAGTTGATAGCGATATAGTAAATTAATATTTAATATTTTGTACCATAATAAACATATGAGAATGTGTTAGTATTATTATTATTACGGTCAATGATGCCTTATGAGCAGCATATCAAAAGTTCTCTGCACCTTTGTAGATTTTCGGTTGATACTCAGCAGTATTTCAATTTGTCTTCTTACCTACACGAGTGGGCCAGGGGACATCGTCGAGTTCGAACTGAAATAAACGTGATCTGAAACATAATTCAAATTGAGTGTTTTTTGGATAATGAAATACCACTTTTAGCACGGAATGGCGTGTACGAACTCTCGCTTGAGTTCGGAGGATATCAGTTGTTTGTTTTGGTAGGCTCCATATTGTTAGATTCTAGTTGATTTCGTGGCACTTCCCCAACAAATGAGAGACGAGCACGTCCAACGTAAATACACAATTGAAAAAGGCACAGCTCTTCCCCCAGATATATGCCAGAGACGTACACGGTAGACACCCAATTAATGATCGTTCCTAGATATTATTAGCAGATTCTGTTAGATATAGATATTTAGTGAAGGTAGTACCAATTTTGCACTGTTTTTCCTATACGGAACGACCTGCTTACTATCAGCCAATTATGATATAAGGAAATATCTAGAATCGCTTCCGATATATAGGAAAAGAAATCCGTCTAGTTTCATTAAAAATGCTGCTTTGATCCGCTATATGTGGCCATAGAATGCGCGTACGTGTTTTAGCACGGAGAGCTATTGACTATAGGAATTACTCCTTGCACATTCGAGCCTAAATGTCGTAAGGAGATTTTGTCGTAGGTAGAAAATCTAGTTGTTCACGGGTAACTGCACGGAATTTATTGATCGTTGTGCATACACTACTTCATGCACACTTTGTATTTCCTTCTCTATATTTACCTACTGCAGGAACCTGCTGCAGACCAAACCGTTTGTTCGCACAGTAAATCATGCCGAGGTCATTGATAAGACGGCTTTTCGGGGTTTCCGCAAAAAGTATTCTCCACCGACAGTGCGCATAAGCGCTCTCACTGTTACACACACATATATAATATGTATACATATATATTCAGATAAATACCCCATATCCTCGAAAAGTTCTCCAAACAACGACACTAACATACGACTCCCTATCGACCAACCAACGCACTGTTTTGCCTTTTCCCTTGGCGATTCTGTTTGGCTGCGTGTGTTTTGTTCATAATTTATCAAACAAGAACTCAAAGGAGGCCCACATGCTTTTCAGTCAAAGCGATTTTCACACATCCTACTGCAGTGCGAGCTCATGCCTTCGAGACGTCCACGCGTTTGAATCTGGTGCGCGATTGGCGGGTGGCTAAGCGTGCCTCTCTTTGTTAGCAAAACGCATATACAACATTACATCGACGAGCCGCGCAGCTCATGATCAGCGACGGCGGCGACTGCCTCGGCGTCGGTTGGCTTTGAGAGCTGGCAAGTTGTTCTGCTTATGCGCGCTCGTGACTCACGACTTTGCGGAACTTTTTACAACCCCTGCTAGAACTGGGCCCCTAGCTCCACTCGCGTAGCCATTGATGGCAGCGGCACCCGTCGCTGGGGAAACTAAAGCCTTTCCTTGGGTCATTCCTTCTTTGGTAGAAAGTTCAAGCGAACAGGCGAGAGGTACCCGTTCACAATTACTATGGTGTCGTTCGATAGTTTAGCCGAATCCTTTGAGGCCAAAAAAAAGGTCTGCCGCCTTCTTGAGTTTGCTGGCCTTTTTGGCCTACGTACTAGCATAGTAGAATGCGTCTATAGCAGCTCGTTATGCTAGATATTCAGAGTCTGTTGGAATATAACTTGCTTTTCCACTACAACAAGGTACTTCTACGCTAACGCTTTCGCCGGTAGCTTCCTTTCTTCTTTGCAGGAGGAATTACTCTGAAGGATAGCAAGTACAAGCCGCCGATATCATAAAGTTCCTGAAAGCAGAACGACGTAAAGTTCATTCGTCATCTAACAGTGAATGTTTTTTCGTTATTGAACTGCTTTGTGCTAACAGTACCTTGCTGTGCTATTCACGTTTTTCCAGTGGATATATTCCGAATATTCGACATCTTCTGTATGTAAGCCAACCCACTGCCTATCTGGGCTATATATAAGGAGAGTGGATATAGCAGGGACACGCGAAAGTAGCCCGTATTCTGATTCAGCGTCAGTGCTCCTCTGCGCATACAGCTAGAAATATATATTTGTAGGTAAAATAAATCCATCTTGTCGCTCCGGAATCCTTTCTTTTCCATCTCATCAAACGCAAAAAACAGAAATAGACCATGCCGTGCCTAGCTGAGATACAAACCAACGTTCACGTAGGCCAGTGTACATTGGTATAAAGATATTCCATTTAAGCTACGAATTTCGATCATAAAGTGTGTGTGTGTATGTATTAACAAAAACATTCAGTATTTCGTTGGCTCTTTATACATTACATACAAAGGTTAATAACAAAGTCAGCGAGAATTTCATTCCTATCGATTTTCGGTTAAAGACAGTTATATTTATTGTTGACGGAGATGATTCATTTTGGGTGCAGTGGTTCTCTTTGTTTGGATACGACAATAACATGAACTAAACACAAATTTACCGAGTTAGAACTGGAATGCACTTGTAAACCTATTGGTTCAAGCGGGTATTGTATTCACAGAGCCGTTCTAAGAGCAGAAGACATGAAGCAGAATCTTTAATGATTACCCCATAGTGCTTCTGAAGAACTGTAGAAGTTTCCTATAGCTATGCCGATAGTGTGTGATGCACAACGAGAATCGTTCCCAATTATAACTAACTAAAAGCGTCGGATATTTTTGAGCGATTCCACATATGGCTAACTAACTCAGCTATATTGTTACAATATTTCGGACATCGTCGCCGTTTTCTACATCATAAAATCACTCTGGCGACCTTTATCGCAGAACCATTTCTTCCATTCTTTCGTGGACGTCACGAAACAGGCTCAGTTCATCAATCACCCCGCTGGTGACCTGTGGCTAGCGAAGCGGTCCAGCCCCACCTCGGCCACCCAGGGCTGATTGGGTTAACTGGGCATCCATCGCCCCAGCACCATCAGCGATCGGGATCCCAATGCGACACGTACCATGAGTCAGGCAGCCGCTACTTGTTTGATTGCATACATTCATCAATGCCTCCGCGTACTGACCTACACACTGGCCAACAAACGGACCCATCCTACAACGCATAACCTGGTCGTCGTCGATACTGCTGTCGTTTTTGCGGCTACCGCTGCTAATGCTGCACATCGTTCAAAAAGCTGGTCTTTTCCGACCCCTTGCGGCCATTTCTCCCGCACGATATTTTGTGCGCGACATACGGCGATAATTATTGACTGGCAGTTGGATCCCGACGCTACTTTTTGGTCTCTGCTAACAAACACGCGCTCATGGCGTTTGTGAACGCGATTACAGTTGCATTACCTGTCTTGCTGCCCAGCCTGACTTGCCACCAAATCTCTATGTGCACGTACGTTCTTGGTCGGCCTGATCGACCTCTTTCGGCGTTGGTGGGCAAGCTATGCGACGTACATCCCGTCCATTGACAATTCTATTGGAATGCACCATCCCATAGCCATAACCTCCGTAAAATCTGCAAGAGTTCAGGCGGCATCGAATTGCAGCTCCGAAATCACCGCAGCTAATTTCAACTAAAATATTGATTACCATTTTTTTACGTGCGTATTTTAGCCTTTTTCTTTAATTGTCGTTGTGCTCAAAATATTACGAAAGTTTGGGTCGTGCGTGACGTGCAGTGAACTAGACAAAGCTAAGTCTGTCAATACTCTATGAGTGGGTTTAACGACTGGGCTAAGTAAAAGATCTTTTTTTCAAGCTTCTGTTACTCTTCTTCTGTGGGTCTTTTGCTTTTTGCGATTTTTAGTTTCAGTGGGAAAGGGAGTCACCATCAACAGGCGATTGATGACCAATGGTATTACGGCCATTCCGTGAAGCAAGACTGACCTGTACATTTACTTCGTTCACTGGGCCCGAGTTTCTGTGCGCTGGGGTTTTGAGTTTTTCTTTGGAGCTTTTCAGCCTATTTTGCTTTCGTTTTCTGCTTTGCTACTCAGCTGCGTTCTACCATAGTCTGTCGTTGCTTAAGCTCGCTTCAAGTCTACCGCCAAGATCTTCAAAGGCAAAAAGAAGCAACAGAAAAAGCTGAAGAGTTTTTCTTCGCCAATCTTCGTTCCTACGCGTTTGCAAAGCGCACGGCCTCGAGTTATCCCGCTGATGCCGGTCATTTCACCTTGTTGATGATGACAACGAACGGCCGAACAAGCAGGCGATGTCCGAAAAGTGTTTCTGCATAGAAACTCGACATACCCTCGTGCAGTTACACACACAGTAACATATACACCGATATGCCTGGCAAAACATGCGTTCAGACACCCAAACACATCAAACCGAAAAATCCTGAATACCGATCTGGCCAATGGTCAGTTTAACTAACGTACCTGGTTAATGACAGTCATCGGTGAAAAACCGCAAGGTTCTCATTCAACACTAAGGCTTCGTCTTCGCACACAGCGGGGAGTATTGCACTCGAAAGGAACGTCTCAAACACCGGCGCTCACTGAGTGCCGGCTACCGATAGTAGACAAAGGCTCATAGCGCGTTCTGGATGATTTGCTACTTCAGCCGATTGGAAGATTGCACAAAAAATGAAAGCCTGC